CTGGCTGGTGTTTGATCTATTTTATTCTCAGCCATGCCCTGGAGGGCCAAGACTTTTGCTGAGGGCTGAGCCCGGGCAGGAGGAGGGATGGGGAGAGCTCCGAGCTGAGCCCGGGCAGGAGGAGGGATGGGGAGAGCTCCGAGCTGAGCCCGGGCAGGAGGAGGGATGGGGAGAGCTCCAAGTAGGACTTTTTTTTTTTTTTTCTTTGCCAGGAGGGTGTTGGAAGGAGATCAGTGGGGGAAAAGCAGAAGCCCAAAGAGGAAGGCTCTGCTGCAGCGTGCTGGGTGAAAGCAGGAACCTGGAGTGGGATGGAGACTCCAGAACGAGCTGGAAATGGTGTCTCTTCCTAGGTTTGGTGGGGCTGGGGCAGCCTGCAAGGTTGTGTTCAGCTCTCACAACCACCTGAACTGCTCTTTCCCTTCCCATTTTGTCCCCTCCAGGTTAGGATCTAACCCCTGACACACCACAACAGTGCTGGGGTCGCCCACTGGGACCACCAGATTTTAGGGCCAAAAGCTCCTCTGAACAAGCCACACCTTCCTGGAGGAAGGAGGGCAGGGAGGGAGAGGTGGGGAGCAGGTTTCTAAATCGCAGTTTGGACCTGTTCATGCCCGTCCCTGGGGCGGTTTTGAGTCAGAGCCAAGCAGGGACAAGGCTGTGTGTCCTCCTCACTCTCAGGACCACGGCTTTGTGCTTTCATGTTTTCCTCATGATCCTCTTCACGAGGATCCCTGCAGGAAAACAGCCGTTTTCCAGGGATACCCCAATCCTGCGTTTTCCTGAGTACACCAACAGATCCAGTGTTCCTACTGCCCTTTGTGCAGCGAGGCTGTGTCTCTGCTGTGGCAGGTACACGAGGTACTGGTGGCACTGGGAGAGGGGCTGGTGGTGATCCAAAACAGGAGCTCAGCACTGCAGACTCCAGCTGCCCACGGTGACACACCAGTTCTCAGGTGCTGACAAAGCCAGCAGGAAAAAGAGAAGGAAAAACGAAATGGAGAGACAGGAGGAAGGGTGTGAATCCAGCTGGCACTCGCTCAGGCTCACCAAATCTGCAGGGTTTGTTGGCCAAGTCGTCCTACGTGGGGTAGAAGAGAGACATGTCTCCTTTTTCTGCTAGGGGAAAAATTAAAAAGAAGGGAAAAATATGGTTGTGGAGAGACACTGACTCTGGGAGAGCTTTAGGGCAGGGCTGGGAGCCTGGCTCCTTCCCATGACCAGCATGTTTTTGGAGCTTCAGCTGATAATATGGCAAAAAAGCAAATTTCCCCCCTTCTAAACAGGCAAAAAGTGTTCCATCCAAAGATCCCCAAGCTGAGGCTCTTTCACAGCTGTGTTTACAGGCAGCTATTTCTGTAGAACAGAGGGAGCCGGAAATGCCAATTTGCTTTTGGGATGAATTTCCTTCCGCATGAAGGGCTGTACCCGGAGAGGGGAGGTGGTCGATGGAACGCAACGGGCCCCCCCAGACCAGACAGATCTCATGGAATATTCTGGGTTGTGAGGGACCCACAGGGATCATTGGGTCCAGCTCTCAAGCAAATGGCCCATGCAGGGACACACAGCTCTGCTTGCACCCTCAGAATCATCACAGTCTTTAGGAGCTGTGGATGGAGAATTGATGCAGCAGCAGAGGTGGAGATCTATCAGCCCTTAGGCAAATCCCATACAAAGACAGAAGGTCCTCCTTTGTTATCCTAATTTTTGGGAGTGGAGGAGTACTTGGCCTTTCTTTGAAGTCATTCTTATTCCTCTGTTCTCCAGTTTTGCTGCTGGGGAATCAGTTGAACTGGCTGAAGGCTGCAGAGGAAAACTGGCTTGGGAAAAACCACTCAGAGCCCCCTCTAATTATCTGTGCCTGAGTTCAGATGGACATATTCCCTATTTGGGACTTGTTTACAGGCTGGCAGGGCTTGGTTGGGCTTTTTCCCCTCAAAGCAAGCTCATTGTTTCCTATTTCCCCCCATTTCCCACGGGCAGCGTGAAGTAGGTGTGAGCTCACCTCATGTCAGGTATTTCCCTTACCCCAGAAGGGAGAACAAAGAGCACAGAAAGG